CACTGAGGGTTGTAAGAGTTAAAATACACAAGGTACCCCAGCAATAATTAGCGGAATTCCTACTTTTGTGTGTGAAATAATTAATTTTCTATAATGATTTGATCGAACAACCCACTAAGGGTTGTAAGAGTCAAAAACCATAAAGCTACTTAATATGAGAATTGGATCTCACCGGTAGTGAATGGTATAAAAACAAATCGTTTATTTAGGAGTTAACAAAAAGTGAGATCTCTCAAAACTTGTTATTATTATTTTCTCTTTTTCATTGTAGCTTTACCAGAGGAACCCCCTGATATCGAGGGTAATCAGCCAACCTATCAGATTGGGGAAGAGGTGAACGTGACATGTCATTCAAAGTCGTCTAAACCCGTCTCCATCCTGACTTGGTATATCAATGGTAAAAAGGTGGGATAAAATATTTCTATTGGTTAAATGAACCATTTAGTTTCCTGTAGGTTGTATGGGTTAAATGAACCGTTTTGTTTCTTGTAGGTTGTATGGGTTAAATGAACCATTTAGTTTTCTCTAGGTTGTATGGGTTAAATGAACCGTTTTGTTTCTTGTAGATTATATGGGTTAAATGAACCGTTTTGTTTCCTCTAGGTTGTATGGGTTAAATGAACCATTTAGTTTCCTCTAGGTTGTATGGGTTAAATGAACCGTTTTGTTTCCTCTAGGTTGTATGGGTTAAATGAACCGTTTTGTTTCCTATAGGTTATATGGGTTAAATGAACCGTTTTATTTCTTGTAGGTTGTATGGGTTAAATGAACCGTTTTGTTTCTTATAGGTTATATGGGTTAAATGGACCGTTTTGTTTCCTCTAGGTTGTATGGGTTAAATGAACCGTTTTGTTTCTTATAGGTTATATGGGTTAAATGGATCGTTTTGTTTCTTATAGGTTATATGGGTTAAATGAACCGTTTTGTTTCCTGTAGGTTATACTCAACCAAGTCATGGAATTTCTTTTATTAAATAATTCCCTTGCCCATGATATATTTCCAACAACACTGAGGAATGTAAACTGCTCTTCCCTCCCTTTATAATGCAAAAAAAAAACGGGTTTCGATACTTGTAGAGGGCACAGCACAAACAAAGCAAAAAGAATTACATCGGATGTAAAATATTGTATAAAATGTTTACAGTGGTGTTTATCTATAATGCATGGCCTGGTGGTTAGGGCGCACAAATCGTAATCTGTGGGTCGCGAGTTCGAGTTCCCGTCACCAAACATGCTTTCGGTTTAACCAGTATCGTCAAGATACAATTGAATGATCAAATCAATGACTGAATCTTTATTAAACATGCCCTAGCCCTTCGACTTGTTTTATTTAAGCGTGAAGCTGCACAATGGGCTATCTACGCTATTCCCACCGCAGGGATCGAACCCAAAGTTTTGAACGAATGCAGACTTTTTATATCATAGCTTCCTTCCTCATATTAGTCACCTTTTGAACTTTGAACTAAGAATATGCCTTATTTAAACACAACTATTAGTATGTTATTTGCAATATTAAAAATGTTTTTCTTTTTTTTCTTTTCAGGCAAAGCCGTCATACATAACAACGTACCCTATTCAGGAACAGTTGAACGGGTTGAAAACAACTGCACTAGGCCTAACGTTTATCGTCACATACAGCCACTTCAGCTATGGCGTCATGCGCCTACGCTGTACAGCCTCTGTGACCCAGGAATATTCAACACATAGCAAGGAACTCATTATTGGAGAGAGTATTAAAGCAGACAATTTTTATTGTAAGATGTTTTCTCTAAAACTTCTTATATATTTTTTTTTATTTAAAACTTG